ATTTAAAAAAACACTAAACAGTACCGAATAAAAAATCTATCATGTTTAAAAATTCCGCATAAAATCGACATTTCTTTATTTAAACCCATTTTTTCACAATTATGTGGTGTGAACTTAAATTCCTGTGCAGCTAAAACAATCTGAAAGCCAAACAAACCAAGTTTTGCAAAGAAAATTTTCGCGCCCATAAATACAAAAGAATGGAATTATAAACCCACATTTCTTTAGCGCAGTTTGTATGAGTTCCGATAAGATACGAAAACCCTTAAATTTACAATTGAAAGATGTTTAAGACTTTTTAGAAAAAATATATAGAAGGCAAAGGAAAAGCAAGTCAATTTCGTTTGATCTATGAAATAAGAAAACTGAGAAGTTTGATTGAAAATATGACATGTTGATGAACCAGGCTAAAAAACTGGTAAAAAGCTTTACGCAAGAAAAAAATCTATAATAAACGGAAGAATCTCATGAAATGGACAACAAAAAAATGCAAAAAGTGCAAATTACAAAACCGAATCTTCCAATACATAAATATCTACAGACAAATTTGCTAGATTGAAATGAATCTCATGACTATTTATCAGCAAACAAATAAAGTATTAATTAGCTGGAAACTCTGGAAATAAAAACGCTCATAGTCGTGTGTGTTGGGCTAAAAATCGTATACAAAACTGCAAAATTCCGAAAATTTTTCATACGTTAATTTTCAGAGCCGACTCAGTTACATGGAATCCACATAAACTGCTCACCGCCCCTCAACAATGCTCTACATTGTTGGTCAAGCATAAAAACGTGCTTTCAGAGGCTCATTCTGCAAATGCAGCTTATCTCTTCCAAAAGGATAAGTTTTATGACACTCAATACGATACTGGTAAGTTTATTTTCTCGTAAAGATTTTTAATTGCTTCACATTGTGAAAGAAGTGGTTGATTTCTAACAGTTTTCTTTAGAGAACCAATTTGAAATTAATAATTTGTAGCAATTTTTTTTCATTTATCCTTCATCTTCCAACCATTTTTGGTGACAAAAGACAGGGAAACATGCTAAGAAAGAATGAAATCATGTTTATCGCAACCCGAAAAGATAAACCTATTTCCTTAACATAAATTTAAAAAACGGCATTCTAAAGAAAAACTTTAATTTTAATCAATTTGCTAAGATTGATCACTCATCAAACTATCAAGTGACAAAATGCCAAACCTTTAATTGAGTGGGAATTAACTTGATCCAATAAGCCCTTTTAATAGGACAATTTTAGACTTACTTAACACTGGTTCCTTTGGTTAAAATACAGCTGAAGACTTGTAGATTTTTAAAATTTACTTTCATTATCATTTCAAAGCAAAGCAGGAAAATACAGTAAATGTGCAAAATATGATTTAACATCTGGATAATTTAAAAGTTCAAAAGGTACAACAGTTGAAGAAGTAATCAAAAAATCTGATTACACATCAAAAGAGCAAAGTAGAAACCTAATACAAATAGAAATACCATAATAGAACAGAAATATAATTCGTGATCAACGACTTACGATTAGTTTCACATTTGAACAAACACTTATTGATTAAGGAAATACTTTTTTAGGAGACAAACACATTCAATGTGGCCGTAAAGCCGACGTGTTGAAGTTTTGGTTCATGTGGAAAGCAAAGGGAACCAGCGGATTGGAGCAACACATCGACAAAGTCTTTGAAAACGCTCAGTATTTCTACGAAAACATCAAACAGAGGCCTGGATTCCAAATCGTGATCCCTGAACCTGAATGTACCAACATCTGCTTCTGGTATGTGCCGGAAAGTCTGCGGATGAACAGCACCGAAGAATTCCTCGATAAATTGCAAAATGATGGAGAGTATAAAGAAAAATTGCACAGAGTGGCACCAAAAATCAAAGAAAAAATGATGACAGAAGGCACGATGATGGTGACCTACCAAACCTACAAGGAGAAGCCGAACTTCTTCAGGATGGTGTTCCAGAGCTCCGGCCTGGATAAGAATGATATGTTGCATTTGATTCAAGAGTTTGAGAGGCTGGGCCAGGGTCTTTGAAGGCTCAATCTTGATTTTTTTAAAATCGAGCAAAAATTGGAAATTAATATTTTATTTAATCGTCCCAGATAGACAGTTGGTTCAAGTCGTACTTCCTTATTTCATATGTTGTGTAATTATATTTGTAAATAATGTAACATTTTTATTTATTTTTTTAGTATAGCAGAGATTACTGTTTTTAAAGCAAAATAAATCCTACCTATTGTATAATAGTTGTATAATAGTGAGCATGACTTTATAGTATCTTTATAATTGGCTTTATAATTTCCCCGGCTCTATGCGATAAGATTGTTTTATAACTTTTAGAGCCAAATATATGAGTGCAACAAGATCAATCCATAAATACGTAGAACAGAAAAAAATGTATATGAGTTTCATCTTCTAATACAGGCGGTCTACCTTGTTCCACCCATACAATATTTAGCAATGAAAATGTGCTGCCATAGTTGTATGCTAAGTTTCTTTGCAACATTATTGTAAAATTGTTTAATTGAAATAAATGATTGAGCGTCCGAATGATGACTTTTTGTAAATACGCTGCGAATCTGCAAAAAAATCACGCTGAAGTTGGCAGAATACATTGAAAAGAAGTATAAAAATCAGAGGCGAGATAATTTGAGTTGCAATAAATTGTTCCCGATATGAAGACTTGATTGTCTTCTATAATGTGGAACAGTTTCAAATCGCTATCTTGTCTCATTCGGAATTGGAAATTTTTTTAAACTAGCGTGCACGATGGGTGCAGATTGGTCTATTTCCTTGGCAGATTTTGAAGCTTTGATAAAAATCAACCTGAGTTTGGATCTGAATAAAATTTTCCACACGTGAACATTTAAGTGTCTTCTATAATGTGGACCAGTTTCAAGTCGATATCTTGTCCCGTGCGAAAATGTGAATTTTTTAAATGCTGACGTGCACGCTTGGAATCAGTCAGTTTTCTGGGCTGATTTTGAAATTTTGCAAAAAATCAAGCTGAGCTTAGATCTGAATGAAATTTTCCAGATGTGAACATTTAAGTGTCTTTTATAATGTGGGGCTGGTTTCAAGTTGATATCTTGACCCATGCGAAAATAAGAATTTTTTAAATGCTGGCGTGAACGCTGGAAATCAGTCAGTTTTCTGGGCTGATTTTGAAATTTTTTAAAAAATCACGCTGGGTTGGAATTTGAATAAAATGTCCCACGTATGAAGTTCTAAGTGTCTTCTATGAAAAGTGGGACAGCTTTAAGTCGCAATTTTATCCAATGCGGAAATCTGATTTTTTTTAAAGCTGACGTGCCCGATAGGAAAAAGTGGATTTCCTAAAATTTCGAAATTTTTTCAAAACTCAAGTTGGGTTTCGTTTCCAATATATTTTTCTAGATATGAAAGCAGAGTGTTCTATAACTTGAGAGCATTTCAAGTTGGTACCTTGTTCGGTACGGAAATGAGAATTTTTTTAAAGGAGACGTGCACGATGAGGGTCAGTCAGTTCTCCGGACAGAATTTGAAATTTTGTAAAAAATCAAGCTGGACTTGGCTTAGAATAGATTTTGCAGATATCAAGATTTAAATGTCTTTAATATGGAACAGTTTCCAGTCGCTATCTTGTCCCGCGCGGAAATGAGAATGTTTTAAAGGTGAGGCAGGCGTACACGATAGGAAACACTCAATTTCCTGGCCAAAAACTTTGAAATTTTGCATAACATATAGATGGCTATGGATTAGAATGAAATTTCCCGAGCAGAAAGAGTCACGTGTCTGCTACAACAGGGAAAAACTTCAAGTAGCTCGCGTGTGCCGTTGGGAAATGAGAATTTTGTAAAGCACACGTACACGATGGGAAACAGTGAGTTTTATGGGCAGATTTTGAAATATTCCCAAAAATCGAGCTGCCTTACAACGAAATGAAATTTTTCAGATATGGAAGCCTCTCCTGCGTGTTTCGATTTGAAATTTAATTCCAAAATTTCGCGAAATTAAAAAAAAACAGAGGTGCACGAAGGGAAACAGTTTTGCGCGCATCATTTGAAATGTTGGTCTCTTAAGTAGCAGCCAGGGTTGCATGAATGAAGGAAATATTTGAGAGTAAACTTCAGTTAGTCAAAAATCTTGAAAATCGAACAAAAAGCGGAAAAGTTATCATTGCAAAACGTAAAAGTTGATATTTTATATAAGCCCTATAAGCAAAAGAGATGCCGAAAAATTTAAAAAAACTTTTAGAGCTTTTGGGGATACTTTTTAATTTTTGGGGTTGTAAATCAAAAAACCTCATTTTGTCCAACTAGTAGCATGCCAAAATTTGCGAAATTTCGCATTTTTCCATTTGCCGCCCTGTAGAAAATTTATCTGAAATGCGTAATTTTTACCAAAAGATTGATAAGCAAAAAACAAATGGGCCTCAGTAACGCCTCAAAAAGAAACCAAATCACTAGAAACAATCAAATTTTATCCACATCCAAAGTTGTGTAACGTTCATTTTATTGAGCAATTTAGTTGGGGTAATATTTACGCCCCTGACAAAAAGATGCAATTATTTGCATGAGCAAAAAATGTTTCTAAATACGGCATGTATAAAAAATACATATATTCGAAACACACAAATCAACGATTGTTCAATAATACCTCAGAGTGAACGGAGTTAGGACAGTGCAAGATTCAAACTGGTTTTTTTACATATATGCACTGTTCTTGAATGTTTCCTGCTACCAATCCAAGTTGACCTTAGTGCCTGATGATGACCCTGAATGGAGGCCGAAACATACCACAATAAAGTTTAAAATAAAATGATTGATCGAAGTTTTTCATACGCCTTTGGCAGAGCCCGGAATAAATCGTTATTTTCTTGAAAATATTAGTAAAATTAAACTGAGGAAATTGGAATTGCAAAAGGAAAAGTGCGTTTGAGTTGTTTACTTTCAGTAAAACAAACCACTTTAATTTATTCAAATGAATACTTTAGTAAATATATACATTTCCATTAAACTTATGATGTAAACTTATAGACAGAAACTTGTTATTTTTGTCGGTAAAGTTAGAACCTAAGGAAATATATTGATATTTAAAATCCCTCAATCAAACTAAAAGTATTGTAGATACATATATAAATGTGGGTCCGAAACAGATCAATTATCAGGACATAGAATAACATAAAGCAATAAAACCTAACAGTTTGCATAAACAGGTCAACAGATATGATCAACGCCTATATTACATTGCATAACTTTGGAAACTATGTTCTCATAAAAATGTGTCCTATTTTATCCATTTCCAGTATTATTAACCAAACGTTGCGTGGCAATTGGAACAACGTTTCTCCCTCATCGCCAAACAGCAGAGAATACCCAACGGGAAGAAAAATATGGCACAGAAAACCCCCAAGCAAGTGAAGTCATCTTCCAAAACACCAACCCTGCATGAAGGGCAGGCACCTAGAATTCCGCATTTAAATCAAAAATCAAAACCAAAGCGGCCTTTTACCAATGACTATCACTTCGGGATTTTCCACAACAATGGTGGTCGAAGTGGCCCCATAACCTTGGGGTGGAAAGGGAGCTTGTGGGGGCGGAGGCCCATAGTAGTTTCCAGCAGGAGGCGCAGCAGGGTAGAATTGCTGTGCGGTTGGGGGTGGGTATGCTCCTGGAGGCGGAGGCCCATACTGATGTACAGCTAATAAAACGTTACGAACCAAAGTAACAATGTTTTCCAGAGAGAAAAAGTAGGCGACAGCTAAACATTTCCATGCAATGTGATTAAACTTCTTACCCGGGTACTCAGCACTATAAGGGGGTGGAGGCTCTTTATATTGACTCATAATGCGTCAGAACGTTAAAATATCAGCACTATTAACTAATCTCTTATCGCTAAATTCGCCAAGCCTTTTGTCAGTTACCAATCAAAATAAACAATCAAGTGACTAACCTAACCTAAAGTCCAAAAGTTAAATATTTCAGCTCATGTGGGCGTGTTTCCAATGAGAATTTGGGTTTTTCGATAGTTAAAAGCCAGTAAAATGATACAAAAAAGATTTAATATTAAATGCCATTAAGAATCAAATAACTATGGCAAAAAGAACAAATTAATATACACTGTATCCGGGCTCTTCTGCCCGGTTGCCACATCTACTTGGCATTCCTTTTCTTTACGTTATATAAGAATCAAACCTAACCTTAAACTTGTCATTATTATGTGCATTTATTTAAAAAAAATTAAATAGTTTGTCGGCGATTCATGAAATTTTACAGTCCAGCAATTCGCCGGCTTCTAAACCGTTGGCCCGGGCAGAAAACCTTTGGGGTCTACCGATTTTTGCCAGTATTTTTCGTTTTGGGAGCTGCGCTAGAATTCTCTATGATCAACTGGCGAGTCGGCGAGGTTAACTTTTGTAAGTACCATGTCGTTGTATTCAGATAAACTCTCTGATCCCCGATGTTTAATTGCCTATAGACAATACATTTAAGCAAAGACAGGCCCAGCAGATAGTACAGCAAAAACTGCTGGAAGAACTTGAAACAAATAAGGAGAACGCCTTGTAAGCCTCAAAATGCCAGCAGGTGTAAGTTGGGGCAAATATTTGAAATTTACCACCTGTGCTATTCTATCGATGTTGGCAGGCTCTCAAGTTGTTCATATTTACTACAGGCCCTTAGATGATCTCGATAAATATATTGAGGATGCAAAAAAAAGAGCTGGAATGTCATAGACAATATTTCATTGATTGTTGTATCCAGCCGCAACCTCTAAAGAGTCTAAAGGGCCAAAATGAAGTAGTAGCAGTGTGTTGTAATTCGTTTGGAAATAAAAAATAGGCTCTAATATAACAGCTTTGGCGTTGAAAGTCCTTTAACAACGTAGTTATCTTGTGGCTTGATTCTAACACACTTATCTCTTATTGAAAATAAGAGCATCCTTGGGTTAATATTTCACTAGCACATCATTGACGGAATCTGTTCCACGTTGTTTACAGCAATTGCGTAATGGGTTTTTGCAGTAAAAATGATAAAACATTGCATATTATGCATTATCACGTAAATGTTTCAAATGCTCTAAGCTCGGCACAATTTAAGTAGAAATTGGGTCACAACCGGAAGGGTTTCCAATCATTAAGGCATGCTGGAGTCATAAAACAATGAAGTTTGTTTTAAGTTGAATTTGGCTCCCATAAACCTCCGAATAAGCCACAAAATTTGCAATATTAGAACAAGAATAAACTGCTTTCACTAAAAATCACGATAAATTATATTTTTTTATGGATTCTGAGAGAATTTATGGTCATATTTGTATTTACTCATATTAAATTTCATCGGAATTTCAAAGGTTTTCTAAACAAATTGAATGGAATTTCGCTTAAAGGATCGAATTATCATCAGTAACTTATTATTTATTTACTCATCCGCATGCAAGGTGTTTAGATATGTTTAAGGCGAATAGAAAAAAATATAAATCGGAAATCGGGCGACAATTTATTTGGTTCGTAGCTGCAATTTTTCTCTTTAAATTACGTAAAAAGATGTTGCTTTATTACCAACACATAAAACTAACAGGGAAATAGCAATCGGGGATCATTTCACTGATTGAACTATAAATTTGTGGCTCTAATCAGTTAAGAAAGATTTAAGTTTTGGCGCGTACTCACTTCGCAACATCAGTTTTAGTTATTTATAAGAACAAGTACTTTGAAATAAGCAAAAAATATCGTTTTCTGGTGAAGGAAGATGATGAAACGGCCGAGACAAGCACGTCTTTAAACCGTTACTTAATCAAGTACAGTAAGTTGGGATTTAAGATCCAAGTGTTCTTCTAAACAATTTAATAAAATAAAACTGATGTTATGAAGAAAAGTTGATTGATGTTGATCATTGTTGTTGAAGTTGACGACAACTTTTGTTTATTAGTACTCATTAAATGCAGCTTTTTATATCATCGCTTTGCGAACACAAATTAAAAGTCTGAATACATAAATAGTGTCCTTATGGTCAAGCAATTTTTTCAATAATTTCTCAACCATATTTCAAAGGTGTTGGCATTAGCGCGATTAGCGAGAAAAAGTTGTTCTATTATTGCGGTAGTTGCCAAATTAACCACATTTTTGTTAAATTTTCGGAATTATTTTTAATACGAAGCCGAATATTGATTTTTTTCAGCAAACCATCCAACGCGATTTTAAAAAAAATTGTCATCCTTTATTGCACGAAAGCAGCGAGTTGGATAGAGAAAGCGATGCTGTATTAGAGTGGCAACTGACAAATTTGCCATACATTTCGGCAATTTTTTTAATAGGAAGCGGAATAGTGTTCTGTTTTCAGCAAAATATCCGTCGCGAATTCTTCAAAAATTCATCAATTTTTGTTGAAGAAAGTAGCGCGTTCGCATTAACGCCATTAGATAGAGAAAACCTTGCTCTATTAAAGCGACTATTGACAAATTTCTCATAATTTTCTAGAATTTTCAGCAATTTTTTTAGTCGAAGCGGAGTCCGTTCTTGAGCAAAGCGCGTGCAACGATTTTTCAAAAATTCATCACTCAGAGTTGGAAGCAGACCTCAAAACGGAATTAACACCATGAGTTAGAGAAAACGTTGCTCTATTATTGAGGGGATTGCCAAATTTCCCACATTCACAATTTCTAAAGATTTTTTAAATGGCGAATTTATAATTCCATCGGTTAAATGACGCCTCTTTTCTATTTGCCTGTTATTTTCACATGTTGGCTTACGCATAAATCAACAGATATTTACGTAATGTTTATGCGAAAATCGGCATTTGCAGCGCTGATCAAATCAAATACCAATTCATGCCATATTGAGATTTTATTTTCTCCCATTATTTCACTTTTTGTGTGAGAAGTTGAAAGTGCATCTGCAAGAATTACTATTTTCGAGAAATGAACGTAATTCGAATTTTTTTATTTTTTCGTATTCAGATGACTTACATTCATACTTTAGAAGCTGCATAATAATTTGCTGATCACCTAAAATAGTACTTAAGAAGGTAATTTATTAGTTCTAACAGTTTTTTCAATTTGAGCGGTCGCACTTATCAATTAAATTTGTGTACGGATTTCTCTAACATTTTTGCCGTACAATCATGCAGTTGGTCCTTTAAAAAGTTACGCTAATCTGGACTCACTCTGTATATTTCTGTTGCATAATCTTTCAGTTTAAAAATTATTGAAATAAATACACATCTTTGGACCGATTGGTAGGTACTTACAAGCGGTATTTTGCGTATATTGGTACAATGCGTACACTGCGTTAAGGATCAAAGGAAGACATTTCTTCACAGCATTTGGGAAGAACGTTTAAGGCCCGTCACTTAGTCTATATATTCGCGTACTTAACACGCCAAACTATTTTTGTATACTGGGCTTTTCAAAAGTGAGATACAGCGCCTTAAAATGGAATACCCGCTATGTTTAGCAATTTTTGTGATTTTACCTATAAAATCTGAACAAGCTATGCTATTACACATCGCATGTTTCGTTTTTTAACACGCTAATTTTGTTTTAGAGCTTCTGTTGTCCCCCTTTTCCATGTCAATAACTGTTGTGTCTTGTCTACAACAAGCTTGTTGCTTTCGTCTACTAATTTTCCAAACTGATTTTTTGGTAAGTAAAGAAGAAGGAAGCGGGTGTGTACACACTGAAGAAAATCCAATCAAAGGGGATGCAAATTTATATTATAGTGTGTATGATCGGGGTTGTGTTGTAATTCAACCGCGATCATACACACTATAATACAAATTTGCATCCCTTTTGGTTGGATTTTTGGTAAGTGATCTGAACTCTAATATTTTTATGCATGTTGAATGTATCACGGTTTTGTTCGAGTTCCTCTGTCTCTTGTGTAGATTTTCACTTAACTTAATTTTTTTTTTCTTCTCCTATGGAATAACGGCAGTGTTGCGTGTTGTGATGGCCTGCTTTTTATATTCACATCAATGATCTTTTGTGGACAACAACATTCCTTGTGAATGTGTATTTAACTTGGCCGTTCCTTATTGTTTTAGGATTGTTTGAATTTAACGTGTTTAACTGTACATATTATGTATGTTTCAATTAAGAGGTAAACGATACGTGATTATAGCATAAAGCAATAAAGGGGTATTGTTCAATACACATTTAATTATAGAAGGGAAGTTTTACTGAGTCCACAAAAGATCGTCGGCTTGGAAATTGAAACCAAATAAAAATAAATGCAATCAATCACGTGGCGCAACACATGGTCCTTCGAGCCGGATAATTATTGGGTATCAATGGGTTGGACGTATAAAAAAATCTAGTCCATTCCCCATATCTAACCCAAAAATTACGACTTTCGTCCGTCTTCCAAGCGTAGCTTTTCTCGTTCTTTTAGAGTTCCCAAGTCTCATTCGGCTACTATTCATGCTTTTTGTACTCTTGACTGTTATTTTGTCGTTTCTTTGCTTGTGCAGTTTAATTATATTTGATCTTCGCGTCCTTTTAGAATGTCCTATGTGTGATAGTGATACTTTTCGTAATCTTGTTTTTAATTTCATCGTTTCTGTGCTTGTTCATATCTAGTTATTTTTTATTTGGACGACCATCTTTTCAAGTTTTAACCAAAAATTGTTCAGAATTTATCGAAGGGTATTTCATTGAAAAAATCAGTTACAAGTTTGTATCTCACTTTCGAGCCGCTGTGTATATAAACAGTGTTTTAATTTTTTTTTAAATTGTCGATTCAATTGCAATGTTTTTGCTTTTAATATTAGACTTAGAGGTAATGATTAATAGTTGAGTTTGAGTTTAGTTGTGCTTCTATATTCCATTCGATTTCAAAGAGATAAGTATGGTGTGTGAACATATTTTTCAGTCATACTGTATATTGCGGAGTGGGCAAAAATGGCACAACAGTTTTCTTTAATAATGTTTTCTGCTCTTTTAGTAGCAGGCAGTAGTCAATTTGAGTGACAGACATCAACAGAAAAAATTCTTGTCAGAACATTACCGTCAACATAAGAGATCTGCATACAGCGGCGAAGAAAAGCGACCATGTTCAAACCTCATATTTTCGATAACGGCGACGACGAAAATTCGTAAGTACTCGCTTTTCTAGAATTGTTTTATTTAACCTGCTTGTTCCTCTTCGTTTAATCCATGCGGCAATTCGTTTTATTTAAGTGTTATGCGTGCATAACTCTAGAAAGACATGTACAGGTGAGTTCTGCGTATCGACCAATTTATATCAAGACCCACTTTTACCACTATTAACCACCTTTTTCTTATTGAAATCCGGAAAATGGTTCTGCTGTAACAGGATGAGTAACACTGTTTTTAACTCTACAACAGATTAATTTGCAAAGTAAACATTTTCTTGTGAGTTACGCAAGGAATTTGCTTAAATTCGTACGAACGCATGGAAAATACGATCGTTGATTATAAATTGGTAACTATGAGTTCTAATATGTTGGTCAATTGTGTTTTCTGCTGCCCAATTTCCAAAGAGTTGTTCACATCTCACCAGCATAAAAAAATAATCACACGTATTTAAATAATTGTTAATCTTGAACGGATCGAAACTGAGATTTTTGTGTAGCATAACCGAAAAAAAATGCATTAATAGCAAAGCTCCGAGTTCTTTTTATGTAAAAAACAACTAGGAATTGTAGGACCAAAGTCTGACAAAGTGCATAGGTACTTTCAAATTACTTTCTACACACAGTCCGGTTTAAGGGCTTACCACTCTTGTAAAATATTTTAAAAAGCGGTCAATGAAGTCAAAATTTAAATACTTATTATGTATGAATAAGCTGCTGATGGAAAGGAACCACATTTACGGGTGTTCTATATCGAGCACTGAAGATTTCAGGTTAAAATACAACAAAAGCCGCTAAACAGTAATAAATATCCCGCACCAAAAAATCGAGTGGTAATCGAAATTGTAAAAGAAGAAAAACCGAGTAAACAATATTCAAATCCCTGTTGAGAATACGAGGCCGCTTTAATTTAGATTGTAATTCACAGAAGAAAACACCAATAAATGCAACAAATTACCTTCCAAGACAATATCACACAAAAAGGGCAGTTGTTTTACATCTTTGCTGTTACGTTCGTATTAAAACAAGAAATTGAAATAACGCAATACAGAATCCAGATACTTTCTCGTCGTTCCTGGTCGCATAACTATTGCATGCACCAATATAATAGAATAGATGTCAACAGCATTTTTTTAGATGTAAAAGCGATCTTCTAGGGAAAATGTAAAGCCAAACTAACCGAAATCGTGTCACCTGGAAACAAAAAAAGGTTTTCAGTGTAGAGGAAATAATTCTAAGAAATATTCTAAGCTCCATTGAAATTGGAATATAAAAAAGCCCTGAAATATCGGTTCCTTCTGAAAAAACCTCCACGAGTTCAAGCTAAGTGTTTTAAAAATTGACTACATTTTTCCACCCACCTTGTATATTAGAGATCTATCTTACCCCAGGTTTTTGCATGCTTGGGCCCCATTTTGAACCATTTTCGTATCGGCTGTGATTCACATACACCAAAGGTTCACTTTAGGTAAGATTGCTAGATCGTCCCTCTATCGTTTTACTCGTCTGAATTATTAACATTTTTTTTTTATTGAGAAAGTCTATGTAGCCGCATATAAAAACCCGACAAATATAAACAACTCAGGTCTGGCCGGCAATAGGTAGTTTATGCTCAATGAAAACCGGATTCTTCGGAAAATTGGTAAATTTTTGGACAATCCGGAACATTTCGGGTTTTTTTCGACTCATACGTGCATCGTCTGTTTTAGGGGAGTTTTTCAGACCACTTTTTAAATACATTATTTTAACTAAAGCCATTATGTTATCTTCTCTATTTAGAACGATATTCTCAAAAAATATACAGGGTGCCATCCAATCCATCGTAGCATCGTACCGCTCTCTCGATATTTGAAAAAACATTCGTCGTCTTTTGAACCAGTAAGTTTTCCAATTTACAGTTCTTTGAGAAACAACAAGTCTTGGACTTTTATATTAAAAATACCTGAGAAACCGCTCTGTGAACTATCGGAGACTCACTGAGGTTTGCTTTGTTAACATTTAATGATCATTTCCAATCAATATCCAAGGTGGTTCAGTTTCCAGAACAGTTTTCGAACCCAATGAAGAATCAAAGTTGTTTAATGTCGTCAAGCAGCTGAAGATTTTTTAATGAATTTTTGCAGGTCTTAACTGCCATTGGAAGAGCAGCATTTGCAATGGAAATATTTTGGATATTTTATTATCAAGTTTTGGGTTCTCCATTCGAATTGAAAGAAAAATGTGCTTCTCCAAATTTTTTCTTCGACTCATGATGACAATAAATGTATCTCGAAAATGTCGCTATGGCAAAATCAGTTACATTTAATCAGCTCTGTGGTAATCTGTTTTCTATTTAGAATGATTGTTTTTGTCATTATTAGTATTTGAGGTACAATGTGGCAAATATTTGCAAGTCGGAGAACTTTGCTTTGCAAAAATGTTCATCTTATATTTTTATTCTGATTTATTCTTCTTGCTCAAAGTCACTAATTAAACCTGCCGTTGTGGCCCTGTGGTGAACAGAAAAAATAAAACAAAGCTTTGCGTTTGAAATTAAATGAAGAGTAAAAACATGTTTTAATTACATATATGAATCTAGTTTTGTGTTAGTACGGAAACTACTAAAGAGATACGAGAACTTTAACTTTAAAAAAATGTTTTTATTGCAAAACTGTTAATTTCTTATTGCTTCTTGCGTCGTGTCCAACACCTGCAAAATTTTAGTCAATGAGTTTTATAGATGGTCCAAACTGTAAATATCAATAATTCTGTTCGGTAAGGCTAAATTTTATTCGATTAGCTTATTCTAATCGATAGCATACTAATTGTATAAAATTGGCAATTTATCTACAAGTTTCGATGAGTTCATTTGCCATATAAAAAGCAAAATGTGTTTTTTGCATGTGAATTAAAAATTGCAATTATGTAATACATATTTTACAAAAGTGGTAAGGTTTTTGACACATTGTATATCATCCAATCCGCAAAGATCAACATAACAATTAAAATGATGCAAACTCTAGGCATCATTTTAATTGTTATGTTGATCTTTGCGGCGCCGGACTTCGCTTACTAGAACTATGCCTAAGAATACATAGTTTGGCAAAAAATCGCATTTATTTTATATTTTTATCTCCAAATCCTGCCTACTATTTACAACTGAAAAACTGCGAAGACGAAACCATTTCCACATTAACTGTAGACTTCAACTGAGGCAAACAGGACTTAAATAGTTAATCCAACGTTTCGCCTTAAAATTGACATTATCTAAAGCAGTGAGTTACTTCTAATGTGTATAGCAGATAACAGAAACCCATTCTTTCTGTATTAACTGCTAATCCAACCTGTGTGAACGTCTTGAATGCGTTGTGTTATTCGTTATTTTCGCACGATTCGGTTGTGAGTTGTGATGGGCAAAGATGTTTTTAGCAAAAATGGCACATACATCGCTTCCTGCGTCCCCATTGCCTCGCCAAGCGGATATATGGTAAATATTTACTGCAATATTCAGGGTGAGTTCGAACGATTTGCCTCAACTAAATTTTATATTATTAGAGCTGAGTTAATTAATTTAATTTAACAGGGCTGCGAACCAGCCGCATCCTCATAAATACAAAACAAAACTCACTAAGTAAATGTGATTTTTGCTAAATTAGATGGCAGCGATCACGTTATCTTGTTGATAAATTGATAACACTTACCTATAAATGAAAACCCAAAAGCATTGAACGGCTCGAACTGTGTCATTGGAATTCAACTAAGTTCGTCTAATTTATGTAAATGATCATTAATAGTTGCAAAAGTGGTTCGATATGTATTGTATTAAGGTGCCAGTCAGTAGTCGGTTATGTGAGAACATGTGTGCTTAAATGGGAGCTTACGATATAGCGCTTCAATAAAACTACTTATAGAACAAGTATATAAGAATGGGTTCGTATTTTTATCATGCAATTAACATGGATTATGCTGATTTTATAACGGAAACTAGTCGGAAAAGCAGTGCTGTGCCAGAGGAAAACCCCGAGATTAGGTATTCTATCTTCATCAACATAAATAACTAAAATATATATTTCGCCATGTAATAATGTGTTGTAATCTGTGAAAATGCGTTGTTTATTGCATGTTAAAATTTGATTTCTACAGCATTGTGAATGCACAAGTGATTCACCCAAATCACTTATTCGTTTCGTGTAATTTACAAGGATGATGAAATGTATACGGAAAAATTGCTTTGCATGTCACTCACATATGTAATTATCATTAATCGTTTAGGAACAAGTTTCATTTTCATTAAGCACTGCAGCTTTCAACAGCAGTTTCCTAAAATTTCCATATTCCTCAAAAACTTTCAATTTTTTCTGGTCCGATTCAAATGGGAAACTTGGCATACGCTGGAGTTTTGCAAATATATCAAAAGGTCCTAATTTGGCACGTTTGGTTAGAAATTCCAAAACCTCTAAATAAAAAGGAGCAAAAATCACAGAACTTGGTCGCCTCGAATTTCATAACGTTTTATGTCTGATGGTTTTTATTGTTTAATTGGTTCTTCTGATTTTTTTCGGTAGCTCGTCTCACAGACTCTGTTCTGCTCTACAGTTTTACAAGAAAATATTAACCTCTAAAGAGATAGGAAATAAAATAAGGAAATGTACAAATTTGCAACCATTGTCTGCAAAGGCATAGGAATTGATATAAAAGTTTAACGTTAAGCACTATCGAATCAAATCAACATGAATTAGGTAAATAGGTGCATTTAAGTAGATAAATTTGGGAACGATTCATAATATCTGAAAAATCGTTAGGACAAGGAATATCTCATAGTAATTATTTTTTGAAAATGTTCTAACCGTTAACATCTTGAAACAAAATTATAAAATTTCATTATTGCATTATTATGCGCTGCCCAAAAAGCGTCTTAAGATGTATTTTCCTAATTAGAATTGATCGGAAGAAAAGATCTTCGAAGTTTAAAAGTTTCTGCCTCGAAAAAGGTAAAAATATATGAATTACTAGGACAAAATTTAAAACACTTGAAGAGTTTCATACATTTTTCCTGAAAATCCTGTACTTATCACCAAATTCGTTTTAAAATATCAATCAAGCATTTATTATACGAATTTACGTATTAACTATCATAACCAAATACAATTTATTCTGGAAATGCCGTATTTATTATACTTTTTCACAGTTTTTGCTTATATGTGAGCTTGAATATACCCGAAGTTAGAACGAAACTGATGGCTTGGTTTGTTAAAGAAACTTCAATTTTCATGCAGAAACTTGAAGAAAACTAGTTTTTCAATCTTAAATGGCGATCAATCTAAACATTATCAAAATGTTCGTTGCTGTAAGCAGGTACCGGTTTCGAGCCTAAATGCTCGAAATAAATCTATTAAATAGATCTCATCAGGTTGAGTTTGTCTTAAAACAACCAGCATTCCCAAATCCTGAATTTTTTGCCAGCCAGCGGTTCGAAACCGGTCCTGTTTATGCCAAAAGTTTAATTTTTCTTCAATCTGTTCTTTGTTTAGTCGATTATCAGTTTTCACTTTTTCTTGTATTTCTCTTTCTCTAATTACCTTTTTTCAAAATACTATTGATTTCTGCTACCTATTGGGCATTGGTAAGTATCAAATTATTTTTTGCCGCGCCTGTTTGTGTGTTTGTGGGCTGAACGCTTCGCCCGAACGTTTAAAAATCTACTTCCTCAATCGCGATTTCTTTTTTGATTGCACAATACCCAAAATAACGCCAGCCTTTTTATTCAGTAGAAGGACTAATATAAGATTTTTCGGAGAGTTTCCAACCCTGATTACTTTCATGTCTCTTAATAGACATTCGTCGTCTTATTCGCTTTCTCTAGATTTTTCTTTGGGTTTTTCCTTCTACTCACTGTCCTTCAGGATGTTTATTTTTTGAGATTTTATATAACTTTTTATAAACGTTTTTATGGGTTTTCCGATACCACTGAGCATGTAATTAGCACTTTACATCATTTCTTTCCTATCTCACTATGCGTTTTTTGGCTCGCAATCTCAAAAATTAATAATTTTTGAATCGTAGAAATTTTGATTGAAGCTATTCATTCGTGCAGTTACATTTTAATTTTATGTTTCCAACGAAGTGTGGATGCTTTGAAATAAATGCCTGTTTAGTCTATAAAACTAGCCAAAAGCCATGTTACGGTCGATTATAAACTTGTATTTCTAAAATGTTGAATTGGACACCCACAATAACATTTTCGCGTCAATCTGAGTTGTTGAAAGAGAAAGGCGAGTTTTGCAACAACGCTAAAACTGTATAAATTAGAAACGTTTTTTCGTACGTAGTTCTACATTAATGCATATCAAATTTGAGCTTAACTGAAGAAGTATACAAGTAAATGTTAATAATCGAAGTAACATGCATAGCAAAAAGTTCATGATAACCGGAATCCAACTCTGTATAATACAATAATTGAATAATAATAATAATACATGATATATGCATCTTAATGCGAGATTGCGCCGTATATTTGTATATTTTAAACAAAGTGGACCAAATGAAAATAAATTATTGTTTCTCTCAAATGTTAGTGATTCAAGATCGAACCCAATCAAGACCGTTTCAAGGGTCTACTCGGATGTGTTGTCAACCAAACCAAAGAATTTCTACGAATATGAAAATTTTGTTCCCAAATACGATGACATCGACAACTACAGCCTGATCAAAAAAATCGGCAGTGGGAAATACAGCGTAGGTTTGTAGCTGTGCAGAAATGAGGTCGTTGCAGCTTGAAAAACGAAGGTGTGTTTTAGTTTTTGAAGGTCTTCATGAACCTAAAGGCGAACGAGTGGTTCTAAAGATGTTGAAGCCAGTGAAGAAGAAAAAGGTTAAAAGAGAAATAAAGATCCTAGAATGTCTTAGGGGTAACTATCCATCCATCGTTGTTTTTCGTTTAGCTAACCATCCATATTGCAGGAGGAGTAAATATAGTAAATCTGCTGGCTGTTGTGGAGATTCCAGCAATGGATCTCACCGCTTTAGTATTCGGGCAATTAGTAGTCAATGAGGATTTTAAGAATATTTATCTCAAACTATCAGAGGAGGATACTCGGTTTTATTTGCACGAAATTTTAAAGGCTCTAGACTATTGCCACTCCAATGGCATAATGCATAGGTAAGTGTTGAAAATTGTAGGATTAACTTTCTGCAATGCTCGGATTTTGTCTTTTTCAGAGATGTAAAACCCCATAATCTAATAGTTGACCAAGAAAATCGCAAAATTCGCCTGATTGATTGGGGGCTGGCAGACTTTTATCATCCAGGACAAGAATACAATGTTAGAGTGGCTTCCAGGTACTTCAAAGGGCCGGAATTGCTTGTCGACTATGGGTATTATGACTATTCTTTGGACATTTGGGGCTTTGGGTGTGTACTCGCCTCGATGATGTTTAGAAAAGAACCATTTTTCCACGGCAATGATAATCATGATCAACTACTAAGGATTGTCAAGGTTCTAGGTAGGCCAATCACAGTCCAATTAAAATCATGTTTAATACTTGGTCTGTGTGGAAATTTTAGGTACTTCAGAACTGAATAGTTACCTGAAGAAATACAACATCCAGCTGGTAACAGCTTTGCAGCATCTGTTGGGCTATCATACGCGAAAATCGTGGCAAAGATTCGTCAACACGGAAAACGAGTATTTAGTGGACAGTAATGGGCTTGATTTATTGGAAAACTGCTTGAAAATCGATCATATGGAGAGGATTTCGGCTAAGGAAGCCCTCAAGCATAAGTATTTTGCAAAAGTGCGAAAAAGGAGCGGTTGCGAGCTGGGAAATCAGAGCCTCCACGTGGCCGCAAGTTGTGATAACGCCTAGGAATTTTTCAAGGAATCAAATAAGTTTCTTTTATTTTGCCGTTTTTTCTTAAGAATATATAATATACGTTGCAGTGTAAAGACAGAATGTTCTTTTGTTTAGTGGAAATAAAAAGTTTTAGTTTTTTCTAATAAACGTTAATTTAGTGTTGGTAAGTTAAGTGTTAGTTAATGTATACAGAAAAGGATTTTTTTGCTTCCAGAAAATCAAATAAAAAGATACAGTTTGAAAAAGGTTGCAATTAACTTATTTTACATATATACAGTAAATTTTCAGGACTTGGCGCAGTGATGAAGAAATTACTTGGTGCGTCATCCCAATCCACAGGCACAGTTGTTGAATTACTCATAGAGAATGTGGCGACCTTTTTTTTAGGTGTTAAAATAAACTTTAATCCGCCCGTGGGTTAAATGCTATACGCAATTGAAAATGCGGCACAGCAACAACTCAACACAGTTGTTACAAGTATCTAGTTCTTTGGAGACAGGCTTCGAATAAGCCTGATGTAAAGACTCAAAACCGCCCAAAATATTGCAAAAGTTTGAAACTTTCTTGTGCAGGATTCAATGGCTTAATCGGAACCGAAATTTCCATATCTGAAGCGGTTCGCTAGAGACAAGCAGCAGATAAGCTTGATGTAAAAATTAGAAGCTGCCCAAAATATTATCAAAGTTTAAAAATGAACTACGAAAGAACCAATACTAAATCCACCCTACGAGTCAGTTGATGAATATGGGACCAAAAGTTCCACATGTACATGGCAACCAAAATAATGTTAAACTTACCGAAACCTGCGTAGTGTCACCTGGAAAGAAAGAAGAAAATGTGCTTAGTACAGCGGAAAATATGTCCAAAGCCAAGAGGGAGAAATAGAAAGAATCCATAAAACTTCAGTCGCTTGCCGGAAAACTAAACTCAGTTCAACGTAAAAGAATTATGGATTAGAGATGATTCTTATCAGCTTTCTGCCAGTTGGCGCCCCATGCTCCATTTTCGACTGATTAATCCTCAAGAAGCTCACTACACTTTTACAAACTACCGCCCTTATAAGGTCCACAATAATTTTATGTTTCCCATCTATGAAGGCGATTCACACGGCACAAAGGATTATTGACCGATATCGTCCACTATCGGCAGCGAACAGAATATACAACTTTTCGAAAAAAAGGTACCCAACTACAGAATAAACATAATTATTTAATTGTTCGCCCGTTCGATGATTCATACTTTGCTTGGCGGTTCGATTTCAGTTGGTTTACTGTCCATATTTTTGTAAAAAGTGCATCTTCGCACGGCAATATTTAAAAAGATAAATTTCGCGTTCCAACTTAACGAAAGTCAACAACTAAGTGAAAAACGCCCCAAACGCCGATCTTAACTGCGGTGATTAAAGCACGACGCCAAAACTAAAATTAATAACCGAATTATTTTTTTTCTGAAAATATTGGCTAAACAAGAAAACCGTCAAGAAATCGCATGAAATGAAACTGTTGCCAATTTCCGAGCGATGAAAGAAGCCAACGAAACTTCAACTACCTAATTGAAAATGTCCTTTAAAAGTTCTAATTTTAAGAATCATTTAAAGTTTACATTGGAGATTAATTTTATTATCTTCACTCTTTTCATATTTTTTTTCAATCTACTCTTGCTTATTGCTTCATTTGCAAGGTTCAGATCTCATACCTTAATTGTCAAAATGTGCCTATATCTCTGTCTTTATTCTGATACTACTGGTCATATATTTCTAAACATTTATCGTTTCTTGTTTATCTCACTTTGAATGAATTTTTCGACACCACTAGCCATATATTTAGCACCTTCTATAATTAATTTCCTATCTTACTTTTCTGAGTTATTTGGCGTGGTAATTCGAAATTTAATACAACATTTAAACACAATTTTTGAACCGTACATATTTTCATTTTCTTTATCATTTGGCAGTCCAAAATTTGTCCGCTGACAATATTCAGCTTTGGCTTCAAAGCGTTCGTCTTTCTTGTACTGTTCTTCTTCTAGCTAAAGCAACTGACACCTACTAACCCTGAATATCGTCGATTTTTCAAAAATAGTCCTTTGATTGAGTATTTATTTTAAATAACAACGTTTAAATGCACATTTTTGTGTATATTAGTGCCATTTCAACAAACAACTCGTTTTGAGAGATTTGTACATACAGGGTGCTAATTAAACTTATATGCAAATAGGAAATAGGCTTCAGATCTGAGACACATTTTTACATTAGGACTTCTTGAAACTTACCTTAATCTTTTCTATGGAATTTGAAAAAGTATACAAATCTGATAGCATTGCGCCAGCGTAAACCGATGAATACCTGATTATATCAGACCTCGTTTGTAAAAATTCTGCGTATTTTCTTAATTTTATGTTAATAATTATCTCTAGTCCCGCTAGATCGCACTTAAAACTTGTCTTAAATCTGTATACTTTTAAATCAGGGTCGCACTTGCAGTTTTTAATAATAAAAGGATAAATATGCCACTGAGCAACGGGCAAAAATTAAGTAGATGATGTTGAGCTGAATGTGACTATTTCTGTCACAATTATTATAGAATATCTTTCCAAATAAGCTCATAAAATATATTTTTTAACAAATTTTGAATTTTTCTGGACATTTCTGATGTCGTGGAAATTTATCAACTTCAGCATCGAAACGTGCAACTTTGCCTTAATTTAATCTACTTCGTATCTCTTACTGTCTTAATGCTCTCAGCTCCAAGGTAATACATAAAAATGTATTTCGACCTTTCTTGGCGCACCCTGTGTAGTCGGAACTAGTCTCAAATTGTTGCCCACTTAAAAAATCAGTAAGTTCAGCTCAAAAATGTATTAGAAATTCTATTAATTTCCTCGGAAGATAAAGTCCTAAAAAAGTGGGCCACCCTGTATTAAATTTGCCGTTAAAGTGTCCAAATATATGTTTCTCCAGTGTACCAACTTCTCTGTTATTTTTCCACGATTTCTGGAAATTATTTAAAAACTTTTCTATTGCCTCTGATCGCATATGATAACATCTTGGTGGACAAACTTTAAGATTTGACTTTATTATTTGACCATGTATGTACGAAGCAAAGCAGAATCGTAAATGCCTGTGTTAGAAGGAGATGAGACATTAAAAGGAGTTGTTCAACGATCGTTATGTCTCTTTCTATAGCAGGCAGTAGATTGAAGATCTACTCTGTTCCACTCATGTTCTCTGCCCGAAACATGTTTTTTTCCGGTTATTTTACAATCTGATCAACACTTTGATCAGGGAAATCTAAGAATCAAATATGCATGCTTCAGGTATAGTTTATTTCAAAGGGTCAATGCAATTTGTGTATTGCCAAGTCCGGATTTACTTATCATCAAATTGGCAATTTCTTGCTGGTGGAGCCAGCGGGAGTAAAACAGATGGAAGAGGAGCATTGTCCCAATAGCCTACAACAGAATACACCCATAAACTATGCAGTGAACTTCTTCAAAGACTAATAAAGACCTGGAAATCTGTCCCCACTGGACATGTTGCACTGCATGCTCAACGGAGCCTCATGGTAGACTTCGTTCAGCAGCTGAACCCTCACTTTGCTCCAGTGAATCGAGTTGTAATTGATCGAAATCGCTGCATTTGGCGACGTTGGTTGGTCTTCCCATCTAAAACTCCAGCCGTTGGCTTATGCCAGAATTAACCAAAAATGCTGTTACACACTCTTTCATGTAGTTAAAGAAGGTCCTTAACGCCTGATCAGATATGGAACTTTTGCAAACCTCCAAGGGGGCATGAGGATAATAGTGGATGTAGTTTACGCACATCTCCTCACTAATGGAAAAGCCGCCAAGAGTTACGTTTGTTCTGGATAAAGTGTTGTAGTCACATCTGGTCATTAAGATGTGACCCTAAAAGGTAAAGGATTCAAAAGGAGGAATCAAAAGCTCATTCCTCTATAACCAAATAGGAAGCCAACTTGCGCTTTTCAGCAACGTTTAAACGAATCTTGATTGTGATTGTCGGGTCAATTTGAGGAAAGACCATCGACATATTTCTTCGGAACGAATTCGAAAACTTTGGATATTTTTTGGCACCGCGTCATTTCTGAACTAGAGTTTTCAAAAGCTCATTCCTTTATAACCAGACAAGAAGTCAACTTGCGCTCTTCAGCAACGTTTAAACGAAGCTTGACTGTGATTGTGGGCTCAATTTAAGGATAGCCCCTCGGTGAATTTCTTGCGAATGAATTCGGAAACTTTGGACTTTTTGGCAACACCCCATTTCTGCACTAGAGTCTTCAAAAGCTCATTTCTCTATAACCAGACAAGAAGGCAACGTGCGCTCTTCAGCAGCGTTTAAACCACGCTTGACTGTGATTGTCGGCTCAATTTCAGGAAAGTCCAACGATATACTTCTTTGGAACGAATTCGGCTACTTTGGACATTTTTTGGCTACGCGCCATTTCTGCACTGGAGTTTTCAAAATCTCATTTCTTTATAATCAGACAAGAAGTCAACTTGCGCTCTTCAACGTTTAAACGAAGCTTGACT